TTGAGCAAATAACATTTACTTACACTTGATCAAAGTCATCAGGAAATATTTGTCTTCCTAACCTTCTGTTTTCATGTCACAGTAAGCTAGAATAGGGTTTCCAGACCTGATGGAATCCAACCAGTAATTACCGCTGACCACTTGTCCTCCCTCACTCGCCTTAATCTCTCTGCACGAATAGGCAGGCAACTCAGAAATGGAGCCGAGAGGGACTGGAATCGAAGAAATTAATTTACAGGAAGACGAAAGTTAGAAACAATGATGAGTACCGATGTAGAATCCTTGAACGAGGTAATTATTAGAAGTTTGAAGGAGAAATCGGTTATTTCTGATACTGATATAAGTTCTTTTACCTCGTTTTGAGTCACTCGCCATGTAATATCTGTCTTTGTCCTTGACGAAGTCCTCAGGTCTGGCCTCCTTGGTCCGGTTATTTAACTCGCACTTTGAATTGAGTATGACGATGTTATAGCTTTGACATCTGAAATCAGCATGACAAGCTTCCCGGCATTTCAGCGCGACGGCGTCCTGTCGGCCCTCGATCGTCATAAAGGTGTGGCCCCTGAGCATCATTTGGAAAATGGAGTGAATGCTTGCTCTACACTGCTTGCTGGTAATACCGTGGAACATTTGAATCATGACAAGCACGACAAAAAGTGAAATCTGTCCACTGACCCTTAGTAGCATTATTGCAGTGACGTCTGCAAGAACAAGTACCATATGACGTTGAATATGTGGGGCGGAAAAGTAAAGGAGGAGAAGAAAAAATTGAAAAAAAAAAGAATCCTGCATATACCGTAAGACAAGAAATGGGATGCAAAACTTTCAATTGTGACAAAAATCCCACTAACTTGGCCAGCATTCACCCTCCAAGCCTTGACAAATTTCCGAATCGTTATAATGGTCACATTTTTCCTCGAGCATCGCTCTCCAAAAATTATATTCTTATCTTTTCACGCCGAATGGGGGCTATTGTTTACTCACACCTGTTTGGTCTCGTACGTGTAATGAAAATTTTCAATTATAATTACGGAATTCATTCTCGCATGTAAACATTTGTTTGACAATCTTTGAATTGCGGTTTAATGTCTGCAAAAATCATTGTTCACAATCTGGTTTCTTGAAACGTCAGGACATACTCAGCAACCAGGACTGTCAACAAAAGGTCGACAGATAACTTTTGCCCTTTAGCTAAAGTTTCTTTGGCAAAGTCATAATTCAAATATTAAGAAGGTGAAAAAGGCAAATTTTCAAAATAAACCAAATAAACCACAGCAATATAAATCAAAATAAATCAAAATCAAATCAAATAAACCACAGCATGGTAACGTTAACAAGTACGTGATTAATGTCAGCATTTTTTGATTGAGTTTTTTCATAGCACCATCTCGTCATGCAAGGAATAGCTTGAAACCAGGAGCCATAATTGGGCCCAATTATGGCTCTTGTTGAAACTTAAACGAAGTCATTCGTCTACTGGATAACTAAAGCTTTGGCTCTAGAAGAAGAGAACAAAAGCCACCGAAAGTTTAGCTTTTGAAGTTAAAAAGAAACTGGATGAAAAAGGCTTCTTAAAAAAGGAATATTCCCGATTACAATTAATTTACAAACTAATGGTTGAATAATTCAGTTAAAGGTTTCCTAGACACCCTCTTGAGTGCTAACTATTAAAATTTAATAAGTACAAAACCTATTAATACGAATTTCAGATGACTCCAAGAAATATCTCAAGGTAAAAATCCGTTGCACACCCATAGAGGCAAATGATTTGCAGATCGGCGAGTGTTCTAAAGATTGAAATGTGAAAAAATTCCTCATATGTCACCCCCGCGAGCTGATTAGGATCAAAATTTCCAATGCGAGATTTTGTAATGTCTTTAAGAAACAAGCAAATGGGTCGAAAAAGAATCCTATTCAACTGATTAAATACAGAATAATTTTCAGAATGAATGTGCGGAAAATCGTGCCGAGACATGTAAACCAAACAGACTTAGCTAATTTATTGTCAAGCGTTGTGTTCTAAATAACTTTCTCTTGACTATTCATTTAAAGGAAATAAATTATTAAAAATCCGTATGAACGAGAATCCCTCTCTGTGTGCTTAAGGTTATGCTGTTTTCTGTAGTGGCTCTTTAACATACTGCAATATGTCGTGGTAGAAATGTTTTATTTTTAGGCCTTAAGAGGTGTTCAGTTCGACTCTCTTGATCTAGAAATTGTTTATGTCCCAATTTTTCCCCGGGGCTGTATGCTCCTCATTTCAAATTTACTCCTTACTCCTTCTAGAAAAGTTCTCAAAAATTGCAGCCACGTCAACAGTTCGAACCGTGTGATTCTCCAGTCGGTAGTCAGGTTTAGGAAAACTGGTAAACTTCAAATTGCGGCAATTACCTAGAGAAAAATTGTGTTAAGTTAGAAAGCTGCTAACAAGCACTTCTACTGACAAGCACTTCTACTTAAATTGGGACTGTACAGCAGTGTTAGTACTGTATGACTCTCGCTTTGGTTTGGCTTTTGGCTTTTGGCTTTACGTTAAACACCAGTAGAGTTATTTTTATTTATATTCTGAATGATCATAGCAAAGTTTAACTTCTTTTTGATGCGATCAGCTATTGTGATCGATCGACTCAGTGATCCACGCCGAAGTCTATAAACTACTCGTGTTGGTATGTAGAGTGATTCGTGTTTATCACGTACGTAATAATGGTCGTCTCGTCCAAGCTTGTTTAGTTCGTTAAAAACGACTACGTTTTCGCGGAGCTTGTTGTTTGGTCTCAGCTCAAAACTCATTTCATGAAAAGCGTGTGTTGTTGTGTAGCGTGACTTCAGTTTTCAACTATACTACGTATTATGAATGAAAAGTGAAACTTTTATTAACTCTTTTAATACCTATTCAGGTGCTGGTTTTTATCTCTAAAAATGTATTAAAAGTTTACTTCCACAGTGTGGATCACCAGGAGACGAAACGCTGAAATGTATGCTCTAGCATGCACATAATAAGACTGAGCGTAATTGAGTATAATAGGAACAACAAATCCTAAAATGTCACATTTTGGTCAAGTGAAAAGGAAATACGATACAAGGAACTGTAACCAATGATGCGACTGCTTTCCAGAGTCTGATTTCGAACTAGCAATTGATAGCAAAACTTGGAAAACTATGAAGGAAAGTAGAAAGCCTTGTGCTATAGTGCTATAGTAAGAATGTTCGAAAAGCTTCTTTTTCTTTAATTATTCTGGACATACCACAGGGGTGAAGTCGGCATTTTCATATCATCCTCTTTAAAAGCGTGTTTTCGAAAATTTGCGTTTTCGATGGACAGCTGTATTATCCAGATTTGTGCTGATGGTAGGCTATACTGTAAGAGTAAGTTTGTTTTTTTCAAATTTACCCCACTATGTGAAAGCGCGGACTCAAAATTAGGTGTTGAATTTGATTCAGCTTGAGGCCGCTAAATTTTCCTGTCAGTCAAAACGGGATGTCTGCATCACTGTTAAAGATGAATTCCTTTTCAAAACTATGTCCGCTGTAGTGAACACGTCCATGAATTTCTATCACACAGAATCTTTTCCTGTATTCGAAAAATGCTGTCCAACATCTTTATTTACATCAAAGTTAAATAAAGTTGCTATCTTTTTGAGAACAAGAAAATTTACTGACATCACTGTTCATCATGAAATTTCCGATCTTCGGAGTTCGCAATACTGATGCCGCCGGACATTCATTGTGGTTCTGTCCTCGTGTACCGGTTCACAAGAGCCGATACAAAAGACCAAATAATACACGACAGCTAACCAATGACCGGCTAAACAAAGAAAGAACGATGGTAATTCCCTTGTGAACCGGTACACCAGGACAGAACCTTCATTGTTTTATGAAATAACTCATAGATCTTAAAAATCCGTCCACAGTTCACAATGAAACCTGTGTTCAACGACAAAAAGACTCCGCTCTGTTTCGATATACGCGTCAGATCGTGCAAAACAAAGTCGTGTTTGTCATCTTTGTTCTCGCGCTTGAAGAAGTTGAAAACCTGATTGCATAATTTTTGAAAATAAAATATCATAAGGAAATCCACGGATCGACGGCCACCAATCTCCGTTTTGATCAAACAGGACTGCGTAAAAAAAT